TTTTTTTTTTTCATTTTGTACTTCACAGAATAAAGAAATTCATAAAGGTTTAGAAAGACATGAGGGTGAGGGAAAAAATACTATCTCTCTCGCAGATCTGGTTTTGATAGTCCTGGCAAATATTCCTGCAGTGTTTTACTTAAAAGGTGCAGTAGGAGATCTTGGAAAATGCTAACTTTAGCCTGATAGCACTGAAAGCGAACGTCCCACCCTCCCTGCAATCGCCGTCCAAACCCACACCCCCTGAACGCATTTACGCTCACAGACCAGAATACCAGAGACAACATTACTACAATAGGCTACATCAGCGGTTCCCAATTCCAGCCCATGTTCCGAAGTTAAGTAAACTTCAACGGATTTCCCCCGATCAGCAATGAACACTGTGTAGGGATCATATAGATCGGAACACAGTTCATGCACGTAGCTCACTTCTAACAAGCTGGCGTGAGGACTGGATTAACCGCTGGGCTACATCATGTGTCATTCACCGGTGAGAAAACTTTAGAAGTAACGTTACTACAATACCAGGAAGGAAGATCGGGATGTTGATGTTTGTCTGCCATTCTCGCTCTGTCTGCACAGCATGCGTGCGTGAACACGCTGATGACGTATCCTGTCTGCGCGAACTGGGTACGCAGAGGTATGCTAATACATATGTTGACAGTAGGGGTGGGAATCTTTAGTCACCTCACGATCCGATCCGATTCTGGGAGTCACGATCCGATTCCAGAACAATTCTTGATCTACTCATTTCCCCCTTACCGACTTGAGAATCTTAAAATCCTTTTACATATTCCTTACAAGTAATTAAGTACTTTTTAAAAATAATTACAAACTGAAAAAACATGTAAACAGTTGTGTTAAGAATTTTAAACTAATATAATTTCAAAACATACAAGCAAGTAGCAAATAATAAAGAGGAGCATAGAAACATATTACAAACAAAAAGTGCTTTCAGTATTTAAGATTCGCACGGATCTCTTTTGAAATATAAGTAGTAATGTGGGTTGTCCTGTCCGTTTAATCCCTTAAGACATAACTGGCTGTGTTTACATTAATTGTGCGTCATAAAACCATTTTGAGACGCAAGTGCATTAAACCACAAGTCGCGCACAGTCGCATGCGCGAGCAGTCTTAAACAAAGCGCGCGCCAGAATTTGAAATTGAAAGCAGCCTTCTGTTAGTGAGATTCATATTTTAAATATGAAAGTCCATTGCATTCCAAACCACATAAATGATGACTTCGTTGAGCATTAAGGAAAATACCGACGGGCGAGACCGCACACTTCAAGTGTAACATCAAACAAACCGCGCGTCTCTCACAGCGCATCCAGTGCAATGAAGCCCGCGAATGTCTTTGTAATTCGCTTCAACCTTTCCTAACTTTATGAAAGATTATTTTACGGAAGGTTCGAGTGGTGTATGTGTAAAAGTGCTTTCAGTATTTAAGATTATCTGAACGTTTTCCATTCAATAACTGTGAGTGATTTTTCTTCATCTTTACTGTTGTTTTACTATAAGCTCAGAATCGATTCTGAAATTCTCATAATCGATCCCAGAATCGTTGGAGAGAGAATCGCGATGCAAAAAATGTTTCTGAAGACAATCACCTATTGCACCTTTAAAGTATTTTATTGAATTACATTCAATGACAGATTTGTATATTTCTCCTCAAGGGTATTTAAACCATCATCTGTGAAGAATAAAAGACTACTAAACAGTTTTACTCTGTTCACACAGGACCTGCGGCCAGTAGGCATTGGGTCTGGAGTATTAATCTGTAAAAACTGTAATCCTGACTGATTAAAGAGATGCCTCTCTGACTCACCAACTCTATTTATAATGGCCTTGTTCTCTGCCACTTTATCTTGCAAAGACAGAAGAATACAAAACTTGTAACTAAAGAGAAAATACCAGAACAAAAACATCTAAATGTCACACATTTTGAATTAGTAAGACAAGAAAAATTGAGAAAGTGAAAAAGAAAAAAACATTATGAAACTGAATATGGAAAACAATTAAAAAGTTTTAAAAGGGGGGGCTTGACGAGCCGGCTATGTGACCTAGAAGGTTGACTGGTAAAACCAGAAACCATGCTGATGGGGAATCCTTGATAACTGTAAAAGAAAAAGTGCTTTTCAAAATGGTCTGAATACATTAGATATATAAACAGTATTATGCAATCTAGTGATGAGTATTTCGGATTTGATATATTTAGGTATACACATTTCAAAAGGTGGCAAAGTCAAGACAAAGCAGTTATTTTAACGTCTAAAGTCTTAGACAGACGAACATCCCAGGAAAGACATAGAGGAGAACAGTGCCAAACACCACACTTGCTTTCACTACAAAAATCCATATCCAAAGATGGACAGTTCATTGACAGAAGGACCTTCAGGAGAAATTGTACATGGAGTACCTAATTACAAATTCCAATGTAATCGTTCCTCACTTAAATCATCATACTATTTAAAACAAGATGCAAATATCTTTAAAAACACAAGAGACTGAAACATTGATTAATGGTCTCTGCAGAAGCAGTCAAGAAATGCCCCATGGGGCATTTAGTGACGAGGTCCACAATAACTTTTGTTGTTGTTTAAAAATAATAATAATAATTTCTGAAAATGTAATTTCAAACCTGTATGAGCTGCTTTCGTGGAACACAAAAGAAAAAAGTCAGAGGAATATTCTTGCTGCTCTTTTTTAAATATAATTAAAGTGAACAATAACTGGAAATGTCCAAGACCAATAAATAAATACAAATAATTTGAATCTTTCATTGTTTACACAACATTTTGACATCAATCCCTTGGTGTGTTTATGTCCAGTCAGTAATAGAATCTTTTCAATGTATCAATTCTATGCAGTTCACAAAATCTGGAATGGTTAATTTACCAATCAGATTCTTAAGTTCAACTTATTCAATGATTTGATTGCCACAGTTAACAGCCCACTAGAGAGAAGATTTATCAGAGCCTTGTATGGGGAGAAGACTGACATTTTGCATAATTTTTCTATCATATGGCTTCAAAGGACTTGCAAAATAATGCACGATTTGTATGGACCACTACATCCCTTTTTACAACTACGGTATTCAAAATTTCTTATTTTGTGGTCCACAAAATTTTGGAAAGACATAAGGGTGGGGTAAAAAAACAATTCTTGAGAACTCTTGACAGCAGAAGGCTGCATGACAGGTACAAATGTCTGATGTTCGACCAGTTCAATGACTCCCTTTCATTCAAACCGGTTCTAGCTAACAGGATTACAACACAGAAACAATGAATGCCGCCAGCTGGTGCATGCAAGTACGTGAAAGCTAATAGCTAGCCCATGGTACCAGAAGGACACTAGCAAGAATGAGAAATGTGATTGCACTTGTGTGTTCTTAATGGATTTTGAGGCTGGTCTTCATGGAAACTTGGTTATTTAGTGTGGTTTCGTTCCAGGAGGGACATGGATCCATGCTACACTGTATATGGACTGCTTGAGGCAAACCGGGTTAATCATTAGCAGTGATTGAGCTTTCTTAATCTGTCTAAGGTAGGGAAATACAAAAAACATATACAAAATAGCAACAAAATCTCAGTAACTCTACATAACTGAATACAACACAGCAATGCATCCTCCTTACAGTGACTTCTCAGAAAATCAACTCTGTTTACCACCTATGAACCAAACTAGCACAAATGAATCATTGGGTACTACAGACTGCACTTAAGTGACCTTTCGGCTCATCAAGACACTGGCTTTAATGGCTGATTAAGCAGAAAGACAAATCAACTACCTATTAACAAAAAGGCCTTGCATGCATTTACAACATGCAGGCATGTGGTACTCAATTCCACAAAGAAATCGGTTGCATTACCAGCAAAGGACTAAAAACCCATTAAAAGAGGTGCCTATGGATGTGTGGAAAGCAAACGGTGAAGCTCAAAAAAAATAAAAAATAACAAGCTACATAGTCCTATGTCAACACGCTTCACTATGCTCGTCGCATAATCTGCAAGTAAGCCTATTTGTCCTTGCGCAATAGTCATGTGACTGACTCCGCTGAATGTAGGTTATCCCCTCATGGAGGGGCCGTAGTCTGTTTGATAAAAAAAAAAAAAAAACTTCTGACTCACTGGGCCGTCGAGACACTATCCAACTACAACGATGTAGCAAAAGAGACTGATTGAAGAATTGTTGTGAAGGAGTTGATTTTTAATGTACAACAAGTAAAGCAAAATTAGCCAAAAGTGGAATTTCTCTCAGCTATACAACTTTACATGCCAATGCCATTATCAATTATCAGATCTGCCTTGTAAAGAAGATTACTTTCCTTGTGTCTGAAATATTTACTGGGTTTGAGAAACAAGGCACTTGGAAAACACGAAAAAATACTGGAAAGATGGTACAAAAAAAGCAAATAAATGTAAAACAAACAACAAAAGGATGTAGAAATTAAACAACGCCAATCTTTGCCCTCCACTTGTCCAGTGTGTTCTTACCCTGAGGTTGGGATGGGTGAAAACAGGCCCAATCACTGACTGAGAAAGTGTGCGTATGGGTTTAAGGAAGTGACTCACTGCCGCTCAAGAAAAATACTTTGACATTTGAGTGTATTTAAACAAGGCTCAGCCCTTGGGAAGGGAACGACTGGCTTGGTGTGTGTTAGAGAGAGTGCAGGCGTTTATCCTTGTCTAACCAGGATGGTAATGATATTCAATATATGAACACACACCTTAATTATCAAGAAATTCCTTTGTAACAAAAGCAACTGGAAAGAAATCTACACTTACAAATGAACAGTTATGAACAACAGCCACTCACTGATCGTTCAATAACTTTTGAACATCACAGATAATTAACATGCGAGAAAGCAATGGTTTCATGAAACAGCTTGACCCAGCAGCCTGCATCAGCACTTATCCTACATCAGAATGATGTACCATCATACTCATTACTCCATCTGGATTCGCATTATCGGAGGAATGATCAAGGTCGGTACTCACAGAGGAATGTGGCGTTGCTCGACGTCGACCCGAGCCAGTTCATCCTCCTCCACATCAGTTTCTCCTCCTGAGCTGCTTTCCGTGGCGTCGGAATCGAACGCGCATTCGGCGGATCGCAGGTTGGTGGTGCAGCTCAGGGACAGTTGCTCTAACTCAGCCGGCATGGCTCTACTCTTCAGGAAACGTCTTAGTCCGTCCCTCTCCTGAGGGGTGAGCGAGTCATCGCCGTAACGGCCCCTCGGCCACCTGGCATCCAGAGCACCCAGAGTGCTCTTTAGTAGTCCGCCCAACTGTTGTTGCACGTGCCGCTCCACCTGCTTGGCCTGCACCACCTGCAGCCGTTTGCGTAATCGCCATAGCCGTGCCTCTATCTCCCCTTGTCTGCTCTGGCTGTGCGGAGTACGGTCGCTTAGCTCCACCCCAAAAACATCTAAAGGATCTTGGTGGGCAGCGAGCGAGAGCGCCAACGTATCTTCACTGTCTAGCGGCGGACAGTCCGAGGTTTTGTCTTCTGTGAAAGGTGCGATGGAGGTGGGAGATGTTGCATGAGGTTCTCCATTACTGGGACAGTTCTGGGACTCAGCCGTTGGCGGCTGGTGCTGCTCCGCACCTTCTCGAAGAGGACCATTACTTGTCAGTCCTCTGGTAGAATTGACAACTTCAGTCTGATTTGCCAAATCCTGCTCGACGGTATGTTGGCCACAATTTAAGGTCACCGCATTGTCTCGGTCAGTCGGTTTAGTCACTTTCTTTGCTATGCCATTAACAGTGGCGCCTTGGACGGTGGGCGGCCCACACGGTCCACCTCCTCCAATGGCACTCATGATGCTCTTTGGCTGCTCCTCGCAGAGTTCTAAAGCCTGGTGCTTGCGTGGTATGAGGCTCGGCAGGATGCTGTGCGTCTGCAGTAGAACACCTTGCAGCTTCAGGGACTCTTTTGCCGAAGACACATCTGAACAGTGATATGAGGTAACGAGGGGCTTGCAGGGGCCGGCCCCGCGAGAGGGGCGCTCCTCCGAGGCCTTGCGCTTGACGGCGCCGTTACTGGACACGAGGATGTGGTTGCCGGTGCCGCTTCCCTCCACGCCACTCGGGGAGAGGGTGGAGGAGGATGGAGCCAGTTTGAAGCGTATGCGGTGAGCTTCGGCCGGAGCGTCGGTCAGAGCGGGCGCCATTGCAGCCATGCAGTGCTGGGAGGGGGCGGGCGAGGGGGCCTCTCCCGGTGCCGAGGCCAGCTCCACACCACCCACCTACCACTGTGCCAGGGGGCAGCCTGAAGAAACAAGACACAAAGAAACACCACAAGTCAAATTTAGTGGTTCATCATGGATTGACTGAACACGAAACAGCAAACAAACAAACAAACCACACTTCAAGTAAAAAAATTATTTACATTGCTGGTAGGTTATCATTGCACAAATGAACACACTCTCTACAATTAAAAAAAAAATTAGAAGAGTTCTAAACTAACGCGCTGTCTTCACTGTATCTAACGCACACACGCTCAAGGCTGATTTATACTCGACG